CCCCCCCCACTACACTCTCCAGCAGCTGCTGTTTCTCTATAACAATATGGCAGCCAACGTCCCTCCCTCCGCTGAGACCCTTCTCAGTGGTGCCGCCGCCCACCCTCCCAAGACCGCTGAAGAAATCGCCAACCAATATGACCTCCTGCCCAAGTTGATCCCCTACCTCGATCGCCACTTGGTCTTCCCTCTTCTCGAATTCAGCTCCGGCGGCCAGGATGACGACCGGGAAACCATCCGTGCCAAGTATGAATTGCTCAAGCACACCAACATGACCGACTACGTCGCCAACCTCTGGAAGGAAATCAACAACTCCGACTCCATCCCCGAAGAGTTCATCAAGAAGCGTGAGGAGGTTCTCGCCAAGTTGCAACACTACCAGGACCAGAGCGCCAAGATCACCGAGCTCCTGCAGGATGAGAGCGTCGTGGGCAACCTGCGCAGCGACAAGGTCGCCAACTTGAAGTTCCTCGAGGAGCAGCACGGTGTCACGATCGAGATGGTCAACAGCCTCTACGACTATGGTCGTTTCCAGTACAGCTGCGGTAGCTACGGCAATGCTGCTGAGCTCCTCTACCAGTTCCGTGTCCTGTCCACCGACAACGACAAGGTTGCCTCCGCCACCTGGGGTAAGCTCGCCTCGGAGATTCTGACCACCAGCTGGGAGGGTGCGATGGAGGAGGTTCTGAAGGTTAAGGATTCCATTGAGACCCGTCTCTTCAACAACCCCCTGGGACAACTGCAGAACCGCTCTTGGTTGATCACCTGGTCCCTGTTCCCCTTCTTCAACTACGACCCCGCTCGCGATGTCTTGACCGACCTCTTCTTCTCCCCCGCCTACATCAACACCATCCAGACCAGCTGCCCCTGGATCCTGCGGTACCTCGCTGCCGCCGTCATCACCAACCGCAACCGCGCCCACAAGAGCACCAGCGTCTACCAGAAGCAATTGAAGGATCTGATCCGGGTCGTTCGCCAGGAGGGCTACGAATACTCCGACCCCATCACCGACTTCGTCAAGGCGCTGTATGTTGATTTCGACTTCGAGGAGGCCCAGAAGAAGCTGGGTGAGGCCGAGGATGTGTTGCGGAGCGACTTCTTCCTCGTCTCTGCTGCCGATGCTTTCGTCGAGGCCGCTCGTCACCTCATCTCCGAGAGCTACTGCAAGATCCACCAGCGCATTGATATCAAGTACGTGCTACGAGAGAGCGGATATAAGAAATGATGTGACTAACCCGGACTGTAGGGACTTGTCCACCCGTTTGGGTCTGAACCAGGACGATGGTGAGAAGTGGATCGTCAACCTGATCCGCGACACCAGAGTCGATGCCAAGATCGACTACAAGGAGGGCACTGTTATCATGAACCACCCCCCTCAGTCGGTTTACCAGCAGGTTATTGAGAAGACCAAGGGTGCCTTCTTCCGGACACAAGTCTTGAGGTAAGTTCGATCCGAGGGAACCCTTTAAAGTATATAGTCTAATGGATCCTACAGCGCGGCCGTTGCGAAATAAATGACAACCCTTCTTTGAAGTTTTCTCTGAAACAAGAATTTCGTCCTTTTACCCTTCTCTTAATGGTTCTTCCATGTTAGTAGTATTTCCCGCCGAAGTGCGGCGGGCTTCCTGAAATGATGGGACCAAGCAGAGTGGCATCAGGCTGGCGTTCAGGTGGTCCACTTTTCATGTCTTTCTTCTTTTTTACCTCTTTTTGCTTATGTCTCTCTTCCCCATGAACCTGTCTATTTCCCCCCTATGTATCTCTTTGTCGACATGCTTTCAGGTGAGCCTTTTTTGGTGTGACGATCCACGCCCGACCTGAAAGAAAAGCAAAAAAAACTAAAAGAAGTACTGTCAAAGTTTCCACCGGGACAACTTTAATCTTCTGTAAAGGATTAGCAATTCGGGGATCAAAGAAGCGACAAATGGGACGGAGCAGCTGAGTGGTACACTGTACCAATCGCTCCTCAGCTTCTGTCTCGCTTATGATTGAATCTCCTGATGCCGAGGGAACATTGAACCCACTATTGCCTCATGCCGTGTGATTGGTTGGTCTATGCAGTTACGAATGATCTATAGAGATGATGGAATTGAATGTTGAATCTAGATCTATCTTTTTTGGTTGTTCACTTCTTATTCTAATACAGTCAGAGCTCTACGCACAAACCAACATACACACTTAAACTTCAGGATATCTACTACCTCACCCGCCTCCGACTTGACCCCAGCCCCCTTATGCGCCGTCGCCCACCCGTCTCACCATGACCATTGGTATAACCGGCACCCCTCATCCACACAATCTCATTAATGTACGGCTCGTCCCCTTCTCTACCCCCCGAATATCGAGCTGTCGGACTTGCCCCGCTACTGCTGCAGCTGCTATAGCTACAGCCATAGCTCCCACCGGCGCTTTCACCAGCCATACGAAGCGACTCCTGCCGTTCGTATTCCCTGGACATAGCCGCGAGATCGTCAATCTGGTCCTATATTTTTTTCGACGGGAGTAGTGTTAGGACGGTATTCCTCGAAAGACTTAGTGCAGGATGGCTACTGTTTCCAGTCAGGAAAAGACGTACCCGCGTCAATGGTACGCCGGTGATGAGGTAGCCGTCTCGGCCCTGCGGCGAGGGAATCTGTGGTTAGTAACTGTCATTGATCACTGGGGGGGGGGGATATTCGGTGGGGATGGGGAGGGATATACATGCTATATGTATGTATGTAGCATATATCATTGGGAGAAGGCGAAGTATTGCTGAGTGGCACACCTGATAGGAGTACGGCCGCGCGGTTGCCGCTGGGCCCAGGAAGTACTGGATCTGGCTGAGGACGATGGAGCGCGAGAGCCCGTAGCCGGGGAGCCAGTAATTCTGGGTCTCTGGGGGTGGCATTTGTTGGTCTTTTGTGTCTCTGTGGGCTGTTGTATACTGGATGTGATGTTGGTGGGAGGTATATGTGGGGGTTTTGTATGTATAGTAGTCGTGAAGGACGAATCAAGTTCAGAAAATATTGTATTTTCTCAACTCAACAATGAGGAGAGCACACGCTTCCATTGTTTATTTATAGGCAGGTCCCAAATCCTCGATCATGCAAGGGAAATATCGCTCGTTGCTTAGCTGGTTTGTCGCTAGCCCTGTCATGCATTTCTGGACCTGTCTGCGTGAATGCTTCGCTTTGCTGCACCCCTGTGTGTATACTTTAGCTGTGGAGCTGTGGTTCTTACTAAAGATAGGGTTCATGATTCAGCTGATGTAGCAATTATTCCTGAGTGTGAGAACTGCTATGCATGCATGTATCTATTCTTAAGACCACAAACCCGATGGATATATATGGAGTATACCAACAAAGAGAAAGAGAGAGAGAAAGAGAGAGGGAAAAGACAGCCCTACTATCACTGCTAGAATGCAGTCCCGTAGCGAACAGCAAAAGCAAGCCCGCCTCACTCCTTCCCATCCAACCACCACCATCCTCTTCTACACCGTTTCTTCTGAACAGCCCCAAAAAGTGAGGCTGTGTCCGTCAAAGAAAACAAATGAACCAGGCGAATTCGACCCCCCACAAATCATAAGCTTATGCGTGGTAGATATTGTTTCAATTTATCTTTATCCAAGTGGGATATTGCTTGTTTGACTTTGATGTTGCTGCAGCGCCAAAAATTATGCATGCAGTTCTGATGTGGTGGCTACAGAACAGTTATGCATGTACAGTACTGGGAATATGTGCTTTGGGATTCGGTGCCGTGGCTCCAGGAATTTGAAGTTCGCTTCAGGTGGGTTGTGGCATGGTATAGGATTTGGTTGGTAAGGGGATTTCTGAGGGATTGGGCCAGGCGCTTTGGATCCCCGTGGGTGTACGATAGAGGTCTATATAGTGATTGCACCTTCTGACGATGGCGTTCAGTGGACACAGATAAGGGGCAATTGCTTTCCCTTTTACACTGGCGTTACCTGATATTGTTTTCAAACTATCTACCTCGGGGTTTCTTGTATGAAGTCGCTGTATGAACTAGGTATCTTAGCCTCTTACACTTGTCAAGATGCCCTCCTCGTCATGATGCTGGTCGAAGCAGCACGGCAACGTCTAGGATCTGGATTACTCCATCTCGTTCATGCGGTGAGTCAAGCACGCGGTTTCTGGCAATCGAACGGCTGACCGCTTCATGGCTGTTTCAGATCCCAGCCATCCAGTGATCGAGCCAGCCATGAGGGGTTCCATTGCTCCTAAATGCAGGAATCTTGCAAGACGAATCAAGCTCAGTTGTAGGCAGACTGTCAGCAAAAGAAGCCCACATGTGAGCAACATGACCAAGGGCCATAGGCAGATTGACACTTAAGACTCTTCAGACGTCAGGCTGCTCATCAAGACTGCTAAGATTTCGTGGTCGAAGCGAAGGAAGTGAACATTATCGAAGAGTATAGATGGAGCTGCAGGCAGAAGGTAAAGTCATAGTACAGAGATCCAAATCAACATGCTGATGCGGAAGATAAACCTCTTGAGCTAGTACAATTCCCCGGCTCAAGAAGGGAAAATCAATATTCAAAATCACCAAAACGCTTCTTGCATTACTGTCTATGATCTTTTCGTGACTCATCCAGACAAAAGGCATACTTGCAGCAAAATATCATGCAAAGAATCGTTCCGCATCCATTAGTTGCCCTCCGGGGGAACATATGGGTTCACAAGCATGTCGCTAAACCTGTTTCCTGAATTAGCATCGACGTTCAATGTTTCTGAGCTACTCGGACACTGCTAGGTCATCACATACTTCTCAAGCTTCTCCTTTCCTCTTACTTCCTCAACCAATAAAGGCATCCGGACAACGTTGAAGTCCTCGTAGAGTTCCTCGATCTGCTCAAGATACTTCTTCTGCATCTTTCTGCGTGCGTTACACTGTTCGCACGCGCTGCTCTGCTTGGGAAATAACAGTTGGTTGACGACGATAGCATGGGTGTCGATGTTGTAGCTGGTCAACTCCTGGATCATGCGCTCGGTTTCGTACAGAGACAGGAACTCAGCGATGCAGACACAGACGAAGGTGGTAAGGTCGGCATCCTTGAACTGGGAGTTCACCTCGCTAATCGTCTCCCGGAGAGACTCCATCTTCTGCAACAGCTCGTCGATATTCTGACCGCCGGGCAAAGCTCCACGGGAGCCCAGAATGGAGTTGAGCATAGGGCCAAACTGGGAGGACAGCTGCGACAGTTTCGCGAGAGCCTTCTCGAGGACGGTGGGGAATTGGAGGAAGCGGAGAGTGTGGCCGGTGGGCGCAGTGTCGAAAACGATAACCTCGTAGGACAGGGACTTGACTTGCTTCAAGACCTCAGCGAAGGACATGGCTTCGTCAACACCGGGGATCTAGTGAACCAATCGTTAGCCAATGTAAGCTCCGTGATGCATGCGCGCAAAGGCCATGGAGCGTGGAGCGTACGCTGAAAGCCAGATCCTGCATCATGCCGCCCACACCCATCCCGGACAAAGGATCATCTCCCTGGCCTTCACCACTAGCCAAAAGGTCCTGGATACTGCCATTGGGGTCGATCTCCATGGCGCTCAAATTGGTATAGCCATCGACCAGTCGAGCCTCCTTTCCAAACTTCTGTCCAAAGGCATCGCTCAGGTTGTGTGCGGGGTCGGTGGAAATAAGCAGAACGGACTTGCGGACTTTGGCCAGCTGAATCGCAAGCGAGCAGGAGGTCGTAGTCTTGCCGACACCTCCCTTACCACCGACGAAGATCCAGCGCAAGGTTTTCTGGTTGACGACCGACTGGAGCGTAGGCTCCATGAGGTCGTCGCTATGCACGACAGTGGAGGACATGGTAGGTGTTCGAAAAGGGAAAAGATCAAGACTATGGTTTGGTTGTGTATCTGGTCTGGAGAACAGAGGCAAAAAAGGAGTAAGCTTTAGTTAGCGCTTGACAGACTTGCAGTGTTGATTTGGAGCTTGGACTTTACCACGTAACTTACGGGTTCCCCGCAGAGTCTTGAAACCTTCGTATAAGGCGGTCGGTGGGATTTCGAGAAGTTTCGTAAGAAGAGCTGCGTCACCCCACGCTAGTAGTTGAGGGAGGTAAATTGACAGGCCACTTGGAAGGTACTTCTATACAGCAACAATGGTTCGCGAGAGTCGTACAGCGCCAGAGACAGCAGGCGGTTCTTGCCTCAGCTCTTTTCAGCAGTTGTTCAAGCGGCACGTGCCACGTGCTACGTGCTAGAGCCATCACGGGTCATTTTACCTTGTCTTCTGCCTCAGGCGCCGCAACAACCCCGCGCACTCAGCAAGTTATGTAGTCTGTATAGAGTTATCGCTCCCTATCGCTTCGAATCACCCCCCGCGCGACATGCAGCCCATCCCCATTTCAGACGCCTTCCGCAGAATGACACACCCCCTGAATTTGTCGGAGATCAAGTCCCTCTGCAACGGATAGAAGCCGGTTGCCCAATGGTCTTGGGAAACTCTCTTTTGAGTACACTCCGACCTGAACGGTCTTGCGATCAAGTCCATGCAGTGGCCCCATATTGCCTGGGATCCCTTCAACACTCATTGGTGATGCGGTTGTCATGATGATACGTTCTGTCAGCATCGGGGTTAGCCAAGCAGGAGTTTGCATCGCTTATACAAGAGGATGTTTACTCCTTGTCTTCTTTGGGACCCTCTTTAGTGGCACTTGATCATTCACACTCATGCTATCAAGCCGTGGGAATATTATACATGGCAATAAAGCTGAGGTTCAACCTGCATAGATGTCTGGTGGGCCTACAGTTGGAGAAGAATGTGAGTCCAAGTGTAGTTAGTGCATTGTGCATTAAATAGAGTAGCGCTGGCAAGCACGGAGCACCTCATCACCACAACATCGTCCGCGCAAAATGAGGCTCTGCATGCTGTGAATCACATATTATATTGCTCATCCTACTCATGTTTCAGCATAAAGCAGAGAGGCCATGAACCTTAAGAAAGACTGCCAGTCTAGCTCTACCTCGCAATACCTGTATCTGTACATGTACAGTACTTCCAACTCAGCCGGTCTGGAAGTAGTAGTGTAGCTTGGACGTCGGTGGATGATATCCGACTGCATCATAATCTACCTAACTCCAAGATCAAATGGCAAAAGACTGCTTTCGCCTCAGCCGATAGCTTCAATGGGAATCGCGACTTAGAGGTAAGTTACAATTGTTGAATGATGGACTAGCCGTGATACCTTCCTATAGGCGGATTGCAAGATCCGGTGCTAGAGTCATTTCTAATACTCCGTACCTCCACCAGAGAATCCTACAACCACTGGCTGCATCTTTGAACATCGTCTGACTTGGATCCACGTGTTTGCCCCCCAAAATAGTCTATGGAAAACAATCCGTGTCAATTGGTGTTGTTCCCACTTTGACACGGAATGCCTTATGACTTATAGCCGAGTCTACCATACAATGTGTGTAAGATGTATGAGTACTCGGTAAAACACGCGCCATGGATCTATCATGCATCCTGGGCTATCCAGCCTTGCTAGCTCATTTCTCCTTTGCATAAAATGCAGTTGCGTGCCTGTGCTCCGTTTTGGGGGAAGCTAAGGGGAATAAGCCTCCCGCACCTGGAGACCCGGCTCTGGGAGGGTGCCTGCCACCTGGAAAAGTCTAAAGTGGACACCACAAGAACGATGCTGAGCATGAACGGCCACAAAATATTCACAGCAAGAACTTGGAAAGCGATCGGCTTATCGACTATCAATTATCGACTATCGACTATCGATAGATGTGTTCTGGCCGGCCTATTGGGGCTCCATGTGGAGAGACACAATGAACTCAAAACCTACTCCTCCCAAGTCTTTCCCCCTCGGCATGGAAGGCTCACACCATCTGGCCGAGTCCGATCACCCATCCAGAGATTGGGGTGGCAATTCAATAGAGACTCCTACCGAACCGGTTTCGATGCCAATGAGATACCGCGACAATGGGATCACGTGACGAAATCCACGGGACGAACGTTCCGGAGCATTGCGTCATCGAGGACGATCCAATCATAGAGGAGATGTGTCACTCAACGTTCCGAAGAAGATTCCCCCTGAAACCAGCAGAACAGGTTAAGTTGAAATTGGAGCCGGAGATGGAAGGGGAGAGGAGGGGTCCCGGGGGGGGGTGTGGAAGCATAACCTGCTTGAGCCAATCCTGAGCCCTGGGAAGAGGGCCGTCAATGAGCCATTCATTCATTCATGCCGGCGATTCATGTCACCCTCGACTGCAGTCTCGACCACTGAGTCGACGCAGATCCTGACCGCCCTGCAGCCGGACAAACATAGCGTCCGATTCGTGATTCGTTCGCCTGGGCGGGGGCTCACAAACGGGCCCGTGAGTGGCTGAACTAAGGGAGCTAAGTGGGGAAGACTTTAGTTGGACATCGAAGGAAAAATTCCTGTCGTCGTCACCGTGATCTCATCCATTGCTGCCAAATCAAACCCCCCTTCTTCTTCTGCTGCTGCTTCTGCTTCTGCTTCTGCTTTTGCTTCTGCTTCTGCCACAGTCACTGCAGTCAAGTCAGTCATCAGTCAGTTCTAGCCTGCTTGTTGCACCTCGTAGTACGGAACTAGAAAATTAAGAATTATGTAGAAAGTGGTTGCACTTCTTGTGTCTACCTGCCCCCAACCTATTTTCTACCCCTGGATAGCGAAGCAACATTCTTGTAACCCGAGGCCGAAACAGCGAGCAAGCGCAGGAAAAAGACCTTGTCCTCGGTTGTTAAACTCGCCAGTCGTTCCGCCGTCATTTTCAACGATCACGTCCACCCGGATTCCGCTCGTCACATTGGTTGAAAAGTGTTCCCGAGAGCCCACCATCTCCAAGACCCAAGTTCTTCTGTCCAAGTAAGGGCCAGCCAGCATTCGCCTGCATAATCATCCAGTCAATTTTTTTTCCCTGGTCTAGTCAACTTTTTTCTTTCTTTTTTTTTTTTTTTCGGTTGGTCCTTTTCCCCTCTGGGTCTCCTTTTCTTCCCGTTGGCTATCAATAATCTTTTCCGAAGGCTTTGGAAGAATCTGCCCGAAGACAGATACAGTATTAAAAAAAAAGAGGGAAGGCCAAAAAAAAAGCTTCCAGAAAGAACGGCTGAGTAGATATAGATCCAAAACCTTGTAAGAAGGATGACCGCAAAAAGCAAGTATCCATTCAAAAAAAAAAAAAAAGGAGAGAATCTCCTAAAAGAAACAGATTATCTTCATTATTGGTGAGGGTTGCACTTTGGCTGGTACCCGTGGGCTTTTTGTAGTTCAGGGTTGCATGGTTCCGGGCGTGACATAATAATAAGACCGAAGAAAAAGAGAAAAAGAGTCGAGTTCATTTTAGGCTAGGCTTAGCTCACGACATTCGACCGCCTCCCCTCCCTCCTTCCCTCCCCTCCCCTAAAACTAAAACTTCTCCGGGCCTGCCTACGTCACAACTTTTCTTTCTTCCCTTTCCACCTTCTACTCATACTACCACCATCAACTACTATTATCATCTTACTTACGCCAGTCCAGTGACCCTCCTCGGGTTGAACTACAGTACCTCTCATCCCCAATCTCTATTTCGCGACTGAACAACCGGACGACAACAAGTCGATTGACCAGAGAGTCGGCGTCAGGCCTTGCTTTCTCTTCTTTCTACCTGTATCTGTTATCCTTGTTCTAGTCGTCGCCATCTGTTCTGGTCTTTGCCACTTCATCCGCTCGCTCTTAGCCCTTATTTTTCTTTTATTTTTCTCCCTGCCCGTCCACCACCCACCCCCCCCAAAAGTCACCTGCCGACTCCCTCGCTTTTAATATACCGACCACCCCCCCCCTCAGAGACTATGTCTGCGGTCGTCGCTACGACTATTTCGACCAGCTTGCCGAATAATCCTTCGCATCGTAATTCATCGCCAATGGACGCGAAAAAAGCTGGTCTCGAGAGCGAAGGTGAGTCGACTGTGCGCGTGTGTGTGTCATGATGGGTTTTGATCCTCCGTGTGCGCGTGTATTCGCAGTACCTTTACCTTTTTGCCTTATGCAAAATCGCTATTGTACTCTGCATTTCTCCCTATGCTCTTCTTGTTAAGTCTTGGCCTGTTTGGGCTTGGTTGTACGCCACTGTTCCTCAAATGTTTTGTTCAACGCCCTCGCCATCGGGATGACCTCACAATTGGCGTCATCGATGGCTATCGTTATCAGATCCCTTCAGATCCCTACCCGTCCATGCGATGCGAACACAACATCGTCGTTCGCATCCTAACCATCACTTCCATCATCACACCCTTGACCTATTGACTATTGTCGTCGCGCTTTGGGCTTCATCTACCCTCTTGGCTGCATTACTGACGCGATCTTACTTTGAGCGACAGACTCCCGGGCGCCGTCGTCGGATGTCAAAGACTCCAAGCCTGATGTAGACTCTCAAACCTCGTTGGCGCCTCCTCCGCGACCAGCCATAACAAGTGCTACTGATACCCCCGACTACTTCAACTCGGTTCATAATCCCTTTTCTCTGGAACCCAACCCCTTCGAGCAGTCCTTCAGTGGCGGTGGTTCTGGCGAAACGCCAGGCAAATCCATACTTCCTCCTGTTGCAGCTCTCACTTCTCCTGCCCTGCCTGGCACTACCTCAGCCGGCGGTGGCTACGGCTGGTCCAACTCGTTGCGCTCTGGGCCTCTTAGCCCAGCCATGCTCGCAGGCCCGACCGGCTCCAATGATTACTTCGATAGTATTGGCCGGGGATTCCCTACTCCCAACGAATCCTCTCTCCGTACTGGCCTGACTCCTGGTGGAGGAGGCTCTATGTTCCCTGCCCCTAGTCCAAACTCCCAGGCACTCCTTCAACAGCTGCAAAGTGGTGGTGCGACGCCATCCACCATCGAGTTCCACCGGACTGCTTTGAATGCTGCGAAGAAGAATAGTCTTAATGGTCCCACGTCTAATCCAGCCGTTGAATCTGATCCAGCATCACAGTCCTCCAACATGGATATTAAACCAAGCCAGCCAGCAGGAGCCGACCCCTTCGGTCACCATGATGCTGCTGATGCAGCTAATGGACTGTTCATGCTAGCCAAGGGTGGACAGGCAAACTCTAACCAATTCCCTGTTGCCAACCAGACATCAATTCAGCCACAGAACATTCAGTCCAATGAACAATCTCTCGACGCTGGCGCTGATAGACGTAACTCGCAGAACATTAATGGGTTGGCCCACGGCGGCCGGTCGTCAAG